AATAATAATAATGACCGAGAACATAAAAATGACCTAAATATGCATTTATATGCAAAATTAATACAGTCTAATTGTGATTAGAATAGCCCAATTAGTGTTTAATTTCAGTTTAGAATGAAAATATAAGCCTCAAAAAAATATGACGTCATGAACATTCGAACCCTAATGATGACATATTTTTTTAACACCCGGAGCACTCCTAACCGGAAGCCTGAGTTCAATACACGCCCTTGGATATGGTTTATCTTTAAAAAATTTTATTGCCATGTAATTATTTTTTCCACAAGTGCGGAATAACATGACCACGAAGCATATTGTTAGTTGATTCTTCAGACCACCCAACTACTACGTCTTTAATGTGTGTACTAGGACCAGGCTTGGGAAGTCCTTTACATTCAGTGTTTCTTAGTGCAGTTCATCAAGAATCTTTATATTAAGTTGAAATAAAAAGTACTACCGTCTTTTGGATTCTGCAGATGTCAGGGCTATATCATTCGAAAATTTTAATTCCTTCGTCTTTTAAAGCCGTAATACCCGTGACTAAACCATATGGAACCGGCTGCCTGTATCTGTCGCTCAGTGAAAGATGCCCTGTTACCTACAACTTAAACGGCTCTTGGTTCTGTAAGCTTAAAGGAGGTCAGACACGAGGCACTCGACGTTTTTTTACCAAAATGGGTTACACGAGGTGTAGTCTATAAATTCAAAATTCATTTGGTGCTCTGTCTGAGGGATACGTTCGTTCAGAGCTGTAACTCTTGTAATTATACAGCTCGGGCTGAAATAGCTTGTTCTGTTGTAATTACAACCAACTGAACATTAAGTCAAATGTCCAACCGTGTTACAATCTTGTCCTCTTAGAGCATACTACCGTCCCTAAGACGTTTGTTATTGTTCTAGACTGTACGCAGATGGCATTAACCTCTTACCCTAAATTATAACTATCGAAAATGAACCACTAGCATCAAATACAGGATAATTTTCTGTGTAAATATTTCCCATTTTAATTGCAAGCAGCATTTGATTCAAACATTCTGAACAAGTGATAGAAGGAGTCATGGTGAATGCTCGGAGAATACTTGTAACAAAAAAACAGGCCTAAATATTATAAAGAAATGTACCGATGGAAAAGAGGAACACTGAAAAGGATTCAAGACAATAACAACTGACTAGTAAACCATAAAAAATATCTGAATTCGCATATTTGGATGAAGAAACAAACAAATGAGATTTAAGATTTTATCAACCAATTAGAGCCCAGTGGTAACTGTATGAATAACCCGTTTTAATAATCTGTTATTCTACATTTTGCTCCTACAAAGTGTACTTACGAGATTTCGTATGATTTCACAATAAACCTTGATTATTTTCTTAAACAGCATTAACCAGTTTATCTTTGTAATGGTTACCATAATTCAGTAAATGCTTGATTAGTCGTCAGGGATTGAATTCTGACTTGGCTTCGAGGCCGATTGCTGCCGCGGAAAGTTTAAGTACGACTATTTAAAATATTTCTTTACGCCTAAATGAAGTTACAGACAGCGTCCAGTATCTTACAAGCCGCAAATATTTCACTTCCATATGTCTAAAAAAAATACCGAAATTAATTGTTCTCAGGAAAACAATTTTCCAGCAACCAGTTACATCTGTTACAAAATTATTGTCTAAAGATAAATGTCTAATATACGGTTTCAGTTTCTGCCGGTGTTGTAGTCGTGAACGAATAAGTAGATTATACAGGAGTATAAGTACTTTTAAAATAACATATATATATCCCTAAATTGTAATTATAATAAATTACTTGTTTAAAAAATCAGCGACTTCGTAAAAGTTAAGTACCGTAGACTGGTTTTTAAAATTAATTACAGAATATTTGCCCGTTTTGATCACTATAAGTTTCTCAATTCATTAGTATAAATTAATTTACCCTAAAAGCTGTGTGTTCTGCCACAAGTAGGCAATTAGGAAGTTTAATCTACCGTGTTTTAATGCACGCAATGTTATAATGTGCTTGCTATTGAAAGGACTGAGGAATCTGTAATAAGCGTACGCTTTCATTGCATCGCATTTAACTCACTTATATCTGTTGCTAACTTTATTTTAGCTTATTATAACATACAGGAGAAGTTGGACGGTTTCAATAGAAATTTCGGGGTAATAGGCCTGCAAGATAAAGTATTGACGTCCTTGATTTCAGATTGTGAGCCGGATATATCGTTTCCCTTGTTTATACTCTCACCCCAAAACTTCATTACATTTAGAAGCACCATGTTAACTGGTTAGAGTGAAATACAATGTATATTTGTGCTTTACACCAAATTCAAACTAGTTTCTGTCATTCCATTTCGACCCGTGCCCGACTCTTATGTAGGCCATGCCGAAAACGCATTTGTAACGTTTTCTAGTTTATTGCTGAGGTAAACTGATATCCTGTAAGGGGTTAACGAAACCTGGGTAAACCTACTCAGGTGGTGTAGCAGTATGGTCGCAGTGTTCGATCCACAAGCTTAGTAACCAGCTACAAAAGGGTTTTTAAAAATTGCGCACAGAATATCATCATAGAACCAAATATAAAGTTCGCATATGGAATCATCTGTTTGTTATAAACAGAGTTCGTCAGATCCGTCAAATGTTTGGAACGATGTAAATATTTCGATGAAAGATCCAGCAAACGCCACATCTGTCCGGAACTTCCCACCACACATCGGATCAGACAGGTCTTAAATGAAAATATATAGAAGAGGTAAACATCGTATTCTGCTATGATTCATCTCTTTAAAATCAGTGTACTGCTCTCCATAAAACTCGGAGTTTAGATTATTACCTTGGATTTCTTCCTGGTTACAACAACCTGAGTTGAAACAGTTATAGGCATAATCGCATGCAGATACTTTGTATGAGTCGTATTTATTTTATTCTTCTCGACATGCTAGAATTCTGCGTTGAATTTTTATGGTCAAGTTTCCACATCAGATGTTCCCTCGTTTTACCTCAATTTTATTGACTATAAGGGTTTTGAAATATGTCTTTGACGGAATTTTCGTGATTAGAACTTCGTGTCTTGTTTTCATGAGTCGCTCAGTCAGGTCAAAACACACTGACGTCTAGGTCTGTCTTCCAGTCATAAACCATCAAGCCTAGGCTCTTATCAGAACACATCATGGATAAGTCTTGTGTGAGTGAATTTTAAACAGCTCGGGGAGTAGTTCAGCTTTTGCAGAAACTGTTTAAATTTACTTTCATACAAATTACTTTGCCATTTCATTTAGCTTATCGTGTAATTTATGTTTTGCTGTTGATGATGGAAGCACGGTTTAATAGAGTTAACCTTGCGGGACCAAAAGAAATATATATATAATGTTAATTCGCTGACCCATTGCTGGAAACAGCGACGTGGTATCAGATTTTTCATCGAGGTAGCCTTCAGTGGACTGACCATCAAGGTTAGGCCATCTGGCGTATTTCATATTCCGTTGAATTTATCTAACTTTCTAAGAACGTAATTTTTATTTGTTTGATTTCTTCAGTAGTTACTATAACAGATAAGTGAAGACATATATTACCTATTTGCCCTTCGTATTTGGGAAATCCCTGCTTTATATCTGGAACAAGAGACCGTATACCCTGACTGAGGTTCGTTGTGGGTTACCTCAGTGTCTCCAGACAAATACCGGGATAGTAGCTGCCTTAAATTGGGCCACGTAACTGCTTATTGCAATATCCTTTCCAATTCTTTATTCATTAACCACCTATTTGCCCTTTTTAATTAATTAAACTAGTGGAAAGGACGTTCAGAAATTCAATATCTGAGACGAGGTGTGGTCAGGATTAGATCGTTATGTAATACTGGGCATAGGAGCGGCCACTGTTGCTGTTATACGCAGATAATTGATTTCAGTTGTGTAAACAAAGTCCTAGATACAGTCCCAGAACAAGTAGTTCAATACAAGTCTGCCTGCGACTATGGTGTTTGTACTGGATTGGAGCGTCAGAGGCAGCAGGATAAGACCCTTATCACTACACGCAGGCAGGGGTGCGTTGAAAATGTTGCGGTGTGAGGCCCGTCAGCTAGTTAATATCCAAGAAGGTGAATATCAATATTATTGACATTAAAACGTCAAACTGAACTGACAGAATGATAGACTGCTAAAAATAATTATGTTTATAATAATAATTAAGTAACAAAATATGAAAATAACTATGTTAATGCCTTAATTTTGAACGGCCTCAGAAATATGCAGATATGGTCCAGACATTTTTTTGGATTATATTACTCGAATTTTTATTAAATATTAGACAGATCATGATGCAACTACACATCCAAACTTTCATAATTTCGTGCTTCTAGTGTGTTTACCTGCGTTTATTCATCCACACTCAACATTTATACACAACCGTACTTTAGATCAGAGGATGATGTTTGTGCTCCCTCTCGTAGAGAGGTATTTTCTGTAGTTTGAAGAGAAAATATTTGTGTCTGCCTTCAACGGTATCGTTAGAAGTTTCGTTGAGACTTTATTTCATCAACAAAATAACTAAATATTTTACAAAGTAAGGTTTATAATGCGTTGGCTAGAAAAAAACGTGGTAAAATTAAATAATTTATAAGAAGTGGTTTAAAGCTACTCTAAAGTAGTTTGTTGTAACGATCGTGCGGTATGTAGCGAAGCTAATGGACTATAGATAGATGACGAGAAAGATAAATAATGGACTAAAAAGACATAGCTTTTATGAAGTCGAAAATGTTTCAGCTTCTCTGGTCTACTTAACTAAAAGTAATTTCACATTATTTCTTATAAAACTTCATCCTTCGAAGCTTCGATCACTTGAAGAGTATTTTATCTTGGACAATAATTTATTAATATTAGCGGCAGTAACAGTGTAGCATACAAGTTGCCAGGTTCAGCTGAACTTAATTCACATGTATCTTCTTTCTGCAAATGCTTTAGCAATGCGCAACTTATATAAAGGCTATAACAAGTGTTGTTTCTTTTCCACAGCACCACCCTTGAATCCGACAATATTTGACGACCGAGGCAAGGAAGTTCCGAGTGTTGCAGGGCCTTACGAAGAAGGACGCGAGATGAAACTGTTATGTGTGGTGTCAGGGGGTAAGTGTCTCTAACTTCTACATAACTTCCTTTCGACATCCGCTGCTCTTATTTAGATAACTTCTCGTTCGTTCTTTCATGCATTAAAACGGCTACTTTGTAAGTATAATTTGAGGTTCTCGCTGCGGTCAGTACGAGTATATCTCTTCTGGGTTGTAGCGCCGTGTAGTCTGGTAGAAGTTTACCAACGTTTCGGAGGTTCTTGATCGCCCTGATAGTGGAGGAAACAAGGACATCTGAAACATCGGTAAACTTCTACCAAACTACAAGACGCTACTACCCAGAGGAAAGCCATCTTAGCTTGTAGTTTAAAAACAGCAAAGAATTTGTTCGTTCTTTCGACCAATATTATGTATCATACATGCCATTTCAACCTTCAGAAAGTCAGTGACAACCATCTACTTCAAGATTTAGTAAATCAGCATCGCCCTCCCCCTCGATTGCATTTATGAGTTAGTGTGATTTTCATAATATACAGCTATTATTTCCCTAAACAGCATTATGCAAAAGAGCTTTCTAATGCAGACAAGCTGTATTTTTATTGCGCAGGAAATGAGAGTTTTAGAATTATTTAGATGAGCTTCGACTTCAAATGGTTAAACGTATTGCGTTTTATTATTGTTATTATTATTATTATTCGACAATCCATTGTTCGTGTATCAGGAATGATTTCGTATCCTTATCGTGTTAAGTGTGGGGTGCCTCAGGGTTCCACCCTAGGCCCTTACTTTTTAATATATTTATTAATGTCATCTGCGACTCCATACATAATGCACAGTGCCTTTTATTTGCTGATGACTTAAAGATATATCGGAGTATTAGCGATGTTTATGACTGCAAACTGTTGCAGGACGACATCCATTCAGTGCAAAATTGGTGTCTTGTGAATGGGATGCAACTTAATTTAAGTAAAACGACTGTTATATCATTCACCCGGAAGACAAACAGTATTTATTTTAATTACAAATTGTGTAACAACCTGGTGGCACGCTCCCATTGTGTTAAAGATCTCGGTGTTCTACTGGACTGTAAGCTTTATTTTCACCAGCATATCAACTATAATCTCACAAAGCTTAAAAATGCTAATTTTGATTCGGTACATTACTTCTTCCTTCTCCTCTGTTAACAACCTATTGGTCTTGTACAGTACCTTAGTCCGTTCCAAAATTGAGTATGCTTCCGTTGTTTGGAACTCTATTACTAATACTGATTCCTTTAAATTGGAAAGGATTCAAAGGAAATTTGTAGCTCTATGTTACACTAGATTCTTTAATGGCGTGTGTGCCTATAATTACGATGATATACTAGTTAGATTAAACTTCTTATCGTTACATTTAAGGAGGAGGCTTTTGGATGCGCTTTTCCTCATCAATGTTTTTAAAGGCAAAATTAGTTGCTCATCTGTTTTTGATACAGTTAGTTTCTGCATACCCACTAGGTCTATCAGAGACTACTCTACCTTTACTGTACAACGTAATTTCAAGGTCAGTCCCTTTGCCAGATGTGTTTCTGGTGCCAATGCAGTCTGCAGGAGCATCGACATCTTTAACAAAGATCGTGTTTTGCTTACTGAGATCAGTCAGCTTTTTAAACAATAATCATTGTTTTTTATTGTTTATTTAGTATAACATTTTATTTGCTATGTTGTTTGTCCAAAATTAAACTGCTTTTAGTTTAATTATTATTTTACGTATCTATAACATTTAGTTTTTTACTTATGAGTTATTTTGCAATAAATCAATATTGTACATTTATGTTTTCAGTTCATCGTTTATTTGCTTTTGTTTTGTAATGTTTGTATTGTTGTCTAGTGTTTGGCTGTTATTGGCCTTTTTGGCTGTTGTCAAGCACTTTAATAAATGAATTGAATTGAATTGAATACTTTTACCATACGGAATTAATATAAAGTAATTAGAATCAAACCTATCATAAAATAACTTCTCAAATTGAGATCTAAGGAAGAAAACTAAATTTGCCTATATTCATCGGTACAGATTGTCTTCCCACATGAAGGCTTAATTAAAGAGGATTTTGCTTACTACTGTGTTGCTTGAGAAATAATTTATTAAAACGTTCTTCTGTTTTAATTATTAATTTCCATCTTAGATTTACATTTCCCTGATAGAATTACTTGCCAAGTTCAACTCTTAATCTGTCTTTATAAATTGAAATTAAGATATGGCAGTAGGGTGAATCAATCTAACGTTTTATTACTCTGATACCCGCGTCGTTTGCAGCAGGGTTCTCTAGTTAGACGTACAATCGGAGAAAGACAAAAGCATAAAAGAGCTTTTGAGTGTTTATCCCCATATCGTGTTTGATGCTTTCATTTTTATCGGTGATCCGAGTATGACGTAGGCAACTTTCCTACTGGTCAGAGTGTAGTTCATTGAATCCAAACAAACACATTGGTCGGCGCTTTCCCGTTATGGAACATTTACTTCCATGAAAACAATCCTGTAAATCCTATTTATTCCAAACAGCGTTGGACTCGCTGGTGCTATGTTTGTGCAGCAGTTTCTCCACGTGATGTATGAAATACAAATTTAGGCACACTGAATGAAGTTTCAGTACCTGGTTATATTCACAACAGTTTTGCTCCACGCTGACAACCAAATGTGAGCCAAATTTACAGTTTGAAATTACACTCAAACATTGAATTGAATATGAATTTTCAAGAATTACCCTGTTACGAACCCCCCCCCCCCCGAGTTTTATCACAGTGACTGACATTTCGCTGTTACGTTCCACCCGAACACATTTAAGATTATCTCAAGTCACTAAAACTTATTTTCTTAGCGTTCATTTTATAACACATTCCAGACTACACGTCGGTTTCCAGAAAGTGACTTGCTGGATTAGATGTTTAGAGGATAAAGAAATTTATGAAATTTTTGTGTTATTATTAGAGTGATTCAATGAAGACATCACTTGTCAGGGTCAGAGTGCAAGAGACGAAAGAAATGCAAACAAAATTTTAGTCGGAAAACCTTAATTATAGAAAATTGATTGAGTGATGTATCAAGATGTAGGGAATGGGGAGGGGGTAATTTACTGATATTTATTTTCATCGAAGTAAACAGTGGATTATATACTTGTGGCTGACAGTAAGTTCTACTGATGGGCTGTTTTCGTAGTTACTAATTTTGATTTCCATGAAAACAGTGAAGTTTTGTACCGGACCATTTTGCCTTATCGTCAGCTTTTCGAGGAAGATTTTATGCGTGATGTTACTTTTAAACAAACCACTGCTCATAATCAAAAATAATTGTTACGGCACATATTTAAATGTATTAAAACATATATGTAATAGTTAAATATAATGTGCTGTTATGCAATCTGTGATGGTGGTCTCCATATTACAGGGCTAAGAACCGAAAGCCTTCGCCGAATGCGTTGTTTTTGGGAGGTCTCGGGTTGGAATTTCGGCTCTGAGACCGGCTCTCCTGACTGAAGATCTTCGTGGTTTTGCCGAGGCTCTTGAGATATTTTAGTGAACGACTTTGTGCCAAGACCTCTTCCTTTGACATCTTTCCAAGTTATTAATCACCCTTTCTCCCCATCCTATTTACTGTAATCAAAGCTACCGACGGTGTCCTTAAATGTGGTAGATATAAGTAAGTAAATAAAACAAGCCTATATAAATATATGTATAAAATCTAGAACTTCGTGATAATTTGAAATGTTGCCTTTTCATTCATATCAGTTTATTCATGTTGTAACGTGGGGCATATTTCCTGGAAACCTCCCGACTGATCTCCTTGAATTTAAAAACGTTTCCGTCCTTCCTTCCTTCCTTTCTGTACAAACTTAAGCACCGAGTCGCCGGTTGCAGAAAGAGAGAAAGAGAGCTTTAAAGTCCTCCATAAAACAACCCACTCTGCCCATCGTCGGCCGGATTCAGCCTAGATACGTCCTAACTTCGAGAGATCTTGGCTGCGGCTTCTTAAGAAAGACAAGGAGACCGGAAGGAAATGTACCTTGGCTGACTTCTGCACTCACTCTCCCCCAATCCCTCGCCATGGCGGCGGCGTCTTCTGCAGATTCTTCCATGATTTCTACCCTCCTTTCAGTCTGTTTTCTTCTCAATATTTATGCTTTCCCTTCTTACCACACAGTGTTTATTATACTGGTTTACCGTAATTGATGCCAACAATTTTTTTGCTGTCTCTTTATTCCTTCTCCCCCTTTGAAACCTCTTTTGTTTCTCTTGTGTGTATTCCGTGCTCCTTTCCATTATTTCACACTTTTCTGCACTTTATTCACTATAAATTTGTTCTTTCTGTCTCTTGCATATGTCCACTCTTTCTTCATCCGTGTTTTCCTGTACAATAATATTCTAAATAAATCCTTCGTCGTATAAAAAAGGCAGATCTCTTGTCCTGTATTTCTTCTCTTGGTTCCGCAAGTATGGCCATACACTTCCCTCTAGAAATTTTAAAACAGATCTTACAAGATTTATCCAGCCCAGTTCTCAACGATAACTCAGAAATTGTAATGACTAGACTATGAACTCGATGACTGGGTTTCGATTCCTTGGTAGGGTTTTTTCTCTTCACTTTAGTCTGCAGTCCGGCACTGTTGATCTTTCCTTGGTGTAAAGGGCAGTACATAAAGTTAACCATCCAACCACATCTGCTGCCTAGTATAAGCATGCGTGGAGCTATGCCTCCATTTCCCCATATGTCCCCATGACATAGCCTCGCCGTTTAGGTCACACGAAAGAAATATTGATGACTATTTTAATACTTCTTGTTTTATCATATAATGTGTTTATAGTTAGTTTATGTTTCGTTTTACAAATGTTTCTGTTTTTGTGTTTGAATGGAAAATATTTTAATCAAATGGAGGGTATCAAGTGTACACACCACGCCTGTCGAATTTTAAATAGCAACTGTAACTCAGATTTTATTGTGTATGGTGTTGAGGTTTGTGTACAGTAGGCACCCTCTTAAGTTTATAACCGTCTCTTCCTGAAAGAAAGATGTTCCCCCTGCAATTATCTGATTTGTATGAATAAAAGGTTTTAATGACAATCTTGCCCAATGATTTGCTTACTTAAAGTAACCACCCTCCTTTGTTTATGTTAGTTTATGTTTCCACAGGATCGTGCGGTAATTTTTCACCTCCAAGATAGTGAATGTGATGCTGTTGACTGTAACAGGGTTGGTTGTAGTGTTTAGGTGGATGCATACGGTTATATACAGTAGTAACTAGGGTCCGTGCGATATGTCTAATCCCTTCCTGTTTAAATGGTATTGCCTTTGCATAACCTTATGTATTTTTTTATTTCCGAATAAGATAAAAAATTAACATTTGAATTGGCCTTAATAGTATTACTCTCGCTGTTTTAAATTTTATTCTAATCTTGCATTCAGTTTTGCCACAGTATAATTATATTTGCTACCTGAAAATATGAACGTATATTAAATCCCAATGGCCGCCATTAACCAGGCTTCTGAGAGGAAGGCGATCATTTTCTCAAAACGATTAATAGATAATGTGCCTCGTAGAAATAAAGACGAAGATTCAAATGTGGAAGAACAGTGAACCAGATGCGAACATTTATCAGTAATCTTAAGTTTTAACGACGAAACGCAATTTAGTTACGTGTTATGTTCACATATTTGGTATATAATACTGATAAAATATGTTTGACAAATCTTTTTCTAGGTATACAGCACAGCTAGTGCAAAATATTTAGACTGGAATTTTTTAATGTTATTAAAATTTCTTTAACATGCGTTTGTGATGCAGGAATCCAACAGATGAAACATGTGGCATATTTATTATGACGCGTTTGAACTATGAACGCGTATTGGTACAGACATGAAGCAAGGAATGGTGTATTTCCTTTACTTTGGTATAGTTAGTTACTTTGACTGAAGAGTCGTTGATTTTAAACTGAGTAAAATGTTTATACATTACAAAGCAGACGACTATTTGCCGTTTACTAAAAGACAGCAGGCAGATAATCGCTCGACTAGTCAAATTCCTCGTATTTTATGGAACCCCAAATTTCATTATAGTGTCCACTTGAACCTGCCACCAATGAAACTACGGAGGCAGATAAGTCAAATCCATATCATCTTATATTCTTTCTTTAAGAATGCTTAATATCCCGCCATCTACGTTTAGGTGTTCCAGCTGATTTCTTTTCTTCTGGTTTTTCGACTATAATTTTATGTAAGGTAATAATCTCTTCCTCACGTACTACATGACCCTCCTTGAATTCATGTGTAAAATTTCGTAACATGCTAGTGTATTTTTGGCAAGGAAATGTTCGGTCCGAGGCCCAGACCCAAAACTGGAGGACCACCCGCTCGTCGGTGGATGTACATTCATCTTCCGTATCTGGAGGCCTTTTGAATCCAAAACCCGAGGGTGTGTGGTGGCAAGGGACCCGTTTGCGAATTCCAGTCTTTGTCTAGTGTATATTCGCGAGTAATTTTGTCTGTGTTTAAGTGTTTACATCACGTAGACTTTACGTTTACTTCATTAATACACGGTGTTGTCCCACATGCCTGAATGACCTGAAAACTCATGTCTCACAAATGAACAAGTGGACGAGTGGACATAAAACACTGCAACCTGCAAATTCGTCCCAGGAACATTGATCACATTATGAAAGTGTGTTAGATACTGCCACAATATATTTCATTAATGGATTCTTTTGGTTTTTATATTGGATTTAATTAATTTTCCAGATGACCAACTGTCCCATTTCTGTATTAAACAATAGTAGTGTAAATGTGCCCATTTTGGTGTTTTAACGTTTGATTTGTGGTTATACATTTATGTTGTAACATAACGTGTGGTACCATATAAATAATTGTTACGTGCACGGAGGACATTGCTTTAATTTACTAGCATATGAGGTAATATAAGCGGCTTCCATTTTATGCGATGTCATACACATACAACTAGACGATAATGAAATTGTTGGCAAAAATGATTGTATAAATTTGAATGATGTAGTAGCCATATTGTAGCAACTATAATAAACTCTGCTTTTATTTCATATGGTGTTTGAAATATTCACCATTTTTCGTTGTGAAGTGTATAATATACTGAATTGTATGTCAGTGCGGTTTCCAGCAGTAATTTCTATTGATTTTAGTTTGTCGAAAACGGCTGGAATAAGCTCTGCGTGTGGCATTTGTCTCTTTTTCCCTGTCTCCGAGAACGGTGAAAAGGGTCGTGAATTCTCTTACTCTGTAATCTTCCAATCTAACAAAGGTTTGATCTATTTAAATACTTTCGTTGTTATATAACTGAAAACACGTACGGAAAAAAATGTGGCCAAGACATTGTATTCAAACGTCCAACTGTGCGAAGTGCAGAAATGATAAAAGGTTTGTTTACAATACTCCGACGTAAAACTGGAGGGTGGAAATTACAGCTTATAGCACCAAAGGAAGACCCGCCTCTCGTATGACATTTTCACACATACGTAAGGGATAAAAAAAATCAGGTACAATATAATAACAATTTTCAGTACCAGCCCTTGGCGAGATGTTTATTGTTTTCATCATCTTGCTTTTGTTTCAATTTAAAAAAATACTCTGTGGGGGCAAAGTTATACTTCAGGAGCGATTGGTTACTAAGCTGATAAATGTCCCATTTCTTATGGAACCGAAAGTTCAATACCAGCTTCATAAGATTCTGCTACTGGTACCCAAGTCAGATTAATCCATTTCAAATCCTCGTTACTCTATATTTTTCAGGCCTATTTTAATGCCTATTATTCTACCACTTTCGCATGCGTTTCACATTTTCGGCTATTATTCTGTAAGCATTTATAAAAATAATAACAATAATCCGTAAACGATGCTTTAAAAGTAAACACATGAAATATATAAGTGTCACAATTACTATTTCTCTTTTCGAATTTATGTTTCACTTTTATACTATAGGCAAAGCAAGTATTGGACCCCTGTAAGTTGCTAAGTTACTATTCATGTCGTAGATTATTATGTAAAAAAGACTGGCAAAGAGGCAGTTTTAAGGAGCATGACGAACATTTGCCTGAGTATAGTTTTGGTCATGGAAAATTGTCAGTGACGTCACTGCCTCTTTTGTCGCCAACGTCTTCCCATCGTCTCTGGAGCACCATTAAAGGCTTTGACAACGAAAGAGAACCCCCGGCTCGAGTACTGCTATCTTCATATCAAATTACACACTTGTACTTCCACTTCAATCCCCCTAACACTACCACTGTCGCCCCCTTTTTTTCATTTCTCTTTGTTCTCCATCGAAATATCCCCCGCATCTAAACGTCAGCATCAGAATATTAAGTTACAAAATTTCCAACGCTTCATCAGAGAAGATGGAGTTTACGATGCGTATTATTTCCGAACGGAACCGTAATACTAATTTGCGCCAAGCAAATTTCTAATTTCAAAATGTCCCTTAGTTTTATTAATAATACGAAATATACTGTTACAATAAAATCTGCTTTCAAATGCCGTCAGGATTATTTACGTTACATAAGATTTGAGTTTTATGTCGTGCAGATATCTAAATTTGTCATCTGAGTTGCAACGGTGCGTGGTTTCGGAGGATTATACTGACATCAACCCTAAAAATATTGACTCTGTTTCTGAAGATGGAAGCAGTTTGTTTTTCAGGCAAGTTGGTATCTACCTACTTATTCATATCTCATTCCTACCATAAATGCTGCATCTACGATAGTATTACTCCAGTTTTAGAAAGGATATTAAGCATTCCCTCTTACGTTGAGGAAGGGACATAAATTAGGACTGTTTTAATAACAAAATTTTGATGTAAATATCTGACTTAAGAAGTTGGAAGATTTTATATAACGAGCAATGCATGTCACATACTAATGTTAGGACAGTGAAACGTGGGAGTTTATAATATACTAGACATGTAGCCTAACTAATGGTGAGACAAGCGATGATGCACACAGAATTTTGGTGGGTACGTCTCTTTTCAAACGTCCACTAGAACAGCCGAGGAGATAGGATAACATTAAGATGAATCTTTGGGAATGAGTTGATAAGATGGAATTTATTTGGAACTTGATCACGGTATTGTGCATTGGCTGACTTTGATACTAACAGTGTCGAACATTTGTTGGAGTCTTAGTGTCTCTTTATATGGACGGAAGTGTCTGATGTAGGCTTTATATAGTGTTGCTCTAACTCTTTTTTTTCAGATTCTAATGAGATATTTGTTATTTCTAACATTTTGTGGTATTACTTACGTCTTGTTTGGCAGAAATCATTTGTTTTACTTCAATTTATTAAAATAAAAGGACACGGGACTATTACAGAAGGGACAATATATCGTATGGTATTAATCCTAGGGATAATAATCTTCTAGTAAGGCAAGAACTGTTAGTAAATGTAGCTTGGAAGGGAACTATGAAACTTCGGAAACTGTATTTAATAATTAAGTATCCGAAGTTTTGCGGTGTATGCCGGGTAAAGAATTACGTATTTCCTTCTCAACTGAGCTCTTATAATCGTCTGTTAAACCCACTGCAGTTGATTAAATAACGTTGAAACCTTTCGCAAGAGCATTCTTAAAATTTTACCGTGCATTATCGACCCCAGACGTTACTTGACGTTGGTTGAGAAATGGTGACGCTGTGTGGACATAGGTCGTGAGTTTTGAAGAAATGGAAAGGAACACATGTGTGATCTTGGACTGGAAATCGTTAGAAGCGAATGAGAAGAATCAAGGAAAACTTTAATAAAGGCAGTCTGATCCCTGTGGAAATTAAACTCATGTCCTGTCTAATGTACAAAAAATGAAGAGAGATTCTAAACGATTATTTATTAAACAATTGGTATTATTTCATTCTTGATTGTTTAGTACAGACTCGCCATTTTCGCGTTCTGTGCATCCGTATCCTTTTCGCCTTTGATCCAAAGAGTGAAATTGTCTCTCGTGTGACGCTCTCATAGCAGAACTTTGCAGATGAGCTCAAAGTGTACAGTGGCTTCTTCCAGTCCTCCGGGAAGTGTACGGTAGTCCACAACACGAGTATAAAGGAAAGGGGACACAA